TTAGAGAACCGGAGGGAGTATTGTTTTAGACTCTTGGGCCGGCCCATGAGTTACGTGTTGTCTGCTTGGGCCGAGCCTTGGCGTGGAAGCCGGTCCCCAAGGGACCCCGGGTTTATGAACCCAACAGTCACTATCTTGTGGCTCTTACCATAGTCCCAACACTGCACGGTTTAATACTAATTTTGTTTACTTGACTAGATCCTGCATTAGACTTGGCATTTGGTCTTCCAATTCCATCTTCAGCATTCAAGCATTGCCTGATGGTGGCATCACATTGTTATAGGAGGAATCATGATCGGCATTTGTCTTCTTCTGTTTGTAAGTGTTTGGCTGCTCCTCCCATTGGCAGTTACCATCTGCCTTCTTTTTGCCTCGCCTGTTGGCTTCTCAGTGCTCCAGCCTCCTCAATCAGTAGAATTGTCATGTACCTTAGCATGCACTTTCCATGAATTATCTTGATCTGCTGGCTTTACAGCCGCTCCACCTCCACTACTCCAGCCTCCCCAATCAGTGGAATATTTTGTGAGTTTTCATTTCCATTTAGGTGCAAATCAAATTGGCTTGTGACATGAGATGAAAGGTACTGAGCAGTCCCCACTATGCTCAATAAAAAGGCAAACTTCTTACAATACTAGTGTTTTATTTTGTTGACTAAAAATATGTCTTAGCTTAACAGGTAGAGATGGAGTGGAAGGTGAAGCAGTTTCTTTCTCCTTCCCCGCTGCCTCCCCTGACCTTGAGAGCCTCACGTGAGGACGCGACCATGACGACTCCTTCCACGGAATCGATCCCAGTGGCGGCGCCCCTCAGCCCCCGACACCACGATGCCCCTGCGTCCTGCGCCCTCACGCTGCCAACGTATTTGTGAATTCATTGTAGTATTCATGTTGAACTTGTAGATGACCAGATATCATATCTGTATATATGATACTTCCTCCATTTTTGTTTACTTGACACCCATGATCACTTTTTTTATTTGGTAATATTTGTCACCGAATTTTACTATTCCAATTTTACCCTTTGTGGGCCTATGTGAAAATTTTAATATATTTGTTATGTAATCGGAAATTTCTAGAGGTTCGTTGCTTTGCACCTCTGTTTCTCGTGCGCCCCCTATTTCTCGTCTATGCGATTGCACGATGCCGCAAGGAGCAGTGAAGGGTGTCGATTTGGGCAGGGGAGGTCAATTAGGAGAGAGAATATCTTGATTCACAGAGCTAGTGGATGGATCCAGTGGTTTGGGGCTTTGATTTGGTGGTGAACCTCGACCTGGTGAGTAGTCAATTTGGTCGACGGAGTTTGTGTCGGGGTGGAAGAGACAAATATTGAAGGAAAACAAAACGAATTCAACTGACGGACATTAACTAGGAAAGAATAACTTACAGGTTGCAAGTGACAATCCGTCAACGCGATTTTCTTCCTCTGTTTCTTGTTGTGGAATGATGTTGAGATCAAACTCTCGGGGAGCTTTTTGACTGCCGTAGTTCTCATCGGGAGACAAATTCAAATCAAACGGGTATAGAGGAGGCGGGACATACGGGAGATGATCACCCATTGCTTCTTCATCGTGGTTCTGCACTGGGTGCAGATTCAAGTCCATGAGCGCTCTAGCATCAGTCGGAGTCTGGAGCATCGCAAAAAAGTTGGCTTCAAGAAAAATAGAGAACTGCTTCAGGTATTTGGGCAAGCCCGCCACTCATTTCAAATTTTGAACGACGTCCCCTTTGGCGGGAGCTGAAACGTCCAGAAGGTGCTTACGCGTATGAATAACAGGACCAAGGGTATTATGGTAATTTTGAATAGGACAGACGTCCACCTTGGTTTCTGTGTTTTGGTCACCGGTGTCAATTAAACAAAAACGGAGGGAAGTATATGTGCTGATAGATCAGACTGATTCTATTTTTGACATAAGTGTTGACTCCATTCATGATGAACTACTGATTTGTGTATTATTTGAATGGAACCTTGTTGGTTATGCACAGAAATTACTGTATGGAAAATATGTATTTTAATATGTTGTTGCTACTGTTTTAAAATAATTTTTTATGTGTGTTTAACTCTTTTTCCTATGAGGCTGGCTACACAGAAATATTATTTTTAATCTGGACGAAATGAATTTTCCTGTGAGTTCACCTAGACCGACAGAAAAAAACATGTGTTTCTCTGTGCGTTTATTTCTTTTTTTTTGTGTCGATTAACACATAGAAAAATTAGTTTTAATTTAGGTGAACACAATTTTTCTGTGCGTGTGAGACCCACAGAAAAATTGTTTCTGACGGTGAACCCACAGAAAAATTTGATTTTTCTGTCATTCTATTTCTGTGTGTTATTTTCTGACGGTACACCGTCAGAAACATATTTTTTCATGGGTATTCAAAAATTTTCGTGGGTTTTACGCACAGAAATATTTGAGTTTCCAGTAGATTGGACACGACCATCGCGCCTTGCTGCTTGAGCCCTTAGTAGCTCGCACGAACAGCAAGGGGCAATGCCATTTGGAGCCCAGATCAAAATTACAGTCGCAACCACAATTGTGAACTTGTCACAGCCACCTCAACTCATGGAAATGCGCCATTAATGAGGTGAGGTGGAAGGGCCTCGTGAGCCACACCCTGTGTGACACGTAGAGGTCCGCAACGTTCAGCATGGCGCAGCGCTCGAAGCTCATGACGGCGTGCCCGAACGCCACCGTGTCCGATCGTCTTTACGCGACTGATGTTGGCCACAAACAACCATGCCACAACGCCATCGACACTCCTGTGCCAGCGGGACCATGACCATCGCCAAGCGCAGTGCGGGGCTAGAAGCTCGCGACAGCGCGCACGAACGCCATGATCGTCTCTCATGCCGCCGAAGCTGGCCAGAAACCCTAGGCCACGCGGTCGCGTTCATGACCACAGCTGTTGTCGCTGCCATGGTTGGCAACAACTTGAGTACGCGGGGAGCCTTGTTGCCACGCAGTGACGCAGGGCAACAATACCTCTCCATAGATCCATCCTTCACGCTCATGAATCTACCCAAAGCATGGACAAAGCGAGAGATTGGGGATTTAGGGAAAAGAGAGAAACAGTGGAGAAATGAGTATGCAGAGGAGAGATTTTTTTAGCACCACCCACTGGCCTCCACCATAATCACGGTTATCGAGGAGCCACAACGGCAGCGTTTGAGTTGGTCGGAGCCGGAGGGGGCAGAAGTTTTCTTTTTTTTATATATAAAAGGATATAAAATCTAACCTTTATATCCACTTGAGATATATGCCGCCAAAAGTTACATGAGCTCCTAGGCTCAAAACCTCAAGACTAAGGCGCATAAAACAATAAAAAAGATTATAAGTACTAAAAAGACTAAGCTTCAGAACTTATTCTACGCCCTTGCTTCAATCTGTCTTGGTCTTGCATAGGAGCAACTATCTACCTCTTACATCTTGAAGCGACTACATATCTAGTGAAAATAGCACACATCTTGCTCCAAAACTCAGACTCTCAACGAGGGAAAGCTAAGGCAAGCAGCTCATTTTTTTCATTTGAGATGTCCTCTCCATCCAGCGTCCAAGAACACTCGGACCTCCTACCCGTCTAGCAGGTAGGGACATGGAAGAAGACGAGTGCCGCCGCCGGATACGGGACACCCATGTTCCAGCGAACCACAACCAAGCAGAACACTAGTAGCTCTGTCCCAACACGACGCCTCCAAGAAGGTATGCAACATTCCACGATGTTGTCATCGCATGACCTAGTGAATCGTTGCTAGGTTTTCACCCACAGAGAACGTAGCGGGCTGGTGAAAAAGATGCAGAGCGACAGGGAACATGACGACACCTCTAGCAAGGGAGTGGCGCCCGTAGGCATCACCGTCTTCCGTTGCCGTGATGTGCCGCGGCCTTCGCAGCCCAGCAGGGGAGTCCAGATCTAGGGGCCCAAGCCAGGGAGAAGTTGCCCTGCATCCGAGCCTGCAGAGAGCCAGCACTGCGCTGCTGCACACGCAATTGTCGTGCCTTCGCGCTGCCGCACAAGCAACAGCTGTTGCGCTAATGCTGAGGATGAGCACGCACGACCAGGCCAGGTCCACGGGGTTCCTGACCTCGCGGGAGCCGGATCCCTACAGAGCTTGAGCACCGTTGGCATCACTGCCGCAACGCGTCCGCCTCCTCACGGCGGGCCACCGCGAGGCCCATGAAGGTGGTAGCCACGCGAAGGCTCTAGGTGAGGCCCTTGCTTCATCGGAGGGGACGGGGTTCGGTGGCACCCCCCTATCGGCGGCGGACGGCAGTGGAGAGCTGTCGCTCATGTTGCCGCTGCTCAGCAGCCCACGCAGCAGACGCACCGCCTCCGCACCGCCGCTTTGAGTTTGCAATGGCACTGCCAAAACAAACCCAAGGCACCGAGCGCTCGTAGATCGTGCCTGAGGGACAGCAGATCTGACCATCATATCCATCGCCGGGGAGGAGGACCCTAGCCACGGAGCTCGCGACCACCGAGCACCAATCCCCCACATGGTAGGGAGTGGAGAAGAGGTCCCGCCGCCGCCCTCCTTGCGACCACTGCTCTGGTGGGGCAGAAGTTTGCCCGCTAGTCGACCTCGAGTCGCTTTGCGAGGGAAACAACGCGAGGGTCGGGTCTCCATTGCCTGGAATGCATAAAATCTTTCTACCTATATGTTGATATAATCACTTCAAAATTTTGAACTGGAAAATTTGAGAGTAAAAAGGTCCCTACAGTACGATGTCTATCGATTGTAAATGGATATCAAACAGGGACTTACTATGCTGGCAGATAGAGAACCGTTTATTGGCAATAATAGAGAGTAATGATTCACCCCATTTGTTTGTTGGTTTCAGCCAGGCCTTACAAGCCAACCAACAGTATTTTCCTCTCACAACAAATCAGCATCAGCCGGGCTTATCAGCCCAGAAACCAACCAACGATCAAGCCGATTATCTAGACCGAAATGTTCCCCGGTTTATTCCGGTATAAACTGACATGGAGAACTCGAATGTCTGTCTACGAAGACATTGCTCCCTGCTCCTGCTGTGTCACCTGCGCCAGAGATAATTTGCCGACGAAGTTGGTCGTGAGGCTGCCGAGAAAGATGTCCCCGTTGAACTCCGTCACCGATGTGACGGAGTTGATCACCTTCCCTTCGGAGTCGTCAAGCACGCGGACGATGTTGCCATCCTCCGACACCTGAGCCACCATGGCACCCTTGGTCGTTGCCTTGCTCCACTTAAGGAGCACGGGGAACGAGGCCACCACTCTCTTCGTGAAGGTCCAGCGCGTGATGAAGTCCGGCCATGGCGACCTTAGCTGCATTTTGGACACCGAAATGCAAAACTGTCATCAGGTGATGCTGTTAGTAAGACGGTATGGATGACGCGGGGAGGCAGGAGCCAGTGGCTGGAAGGCTGACATGGAGGGCAATCCAGTAGTGACCGTCTGACCCGAGACGAATGTTATCTGGAGCCCCCGGTAGGTTGTCCACGAACGTCTCTGCCTTGCCGGCCTTCTCCCCTTTCAGCCACACTTTCATGCACCTGAACCTGCATATTTTTTTGTTCACAGCTGGTTGGTTGTCCATATGATACGCGTACGGTATGATCCGAGTGAAGGTTCAGTTACCCTCTCGTCTCGCAGACGACCACGAAGGTCTCGTCCCTCGGCAGGGCGACGCCGTTGGCGAAACTGAGGCGGTCTAGCACGACGGAAGTCTCGCCGTTGCGCGGGTCGTACCGGAGGAGGCGGCCGGTGGCGCGGGACTCCAAGAAGTCGTAGAACCACCTGTCGAAGCCGAACCTGGTGCTGGCATCGCTGAAGTAGACCATGCCGTCGGAGGCCTCGATCGCCGCGTCCGAGAACCTGGTGTTGGCCGGCGGGCGGCGCGGGCGCGAGAGAACGGTCACGCGCAAGGCGAGGGGAAACAAAATCAGGGGGTGGCTTAACAGTTACGGAGTGGCACCGCATGATCCGGAATTTGGGAACTGATGCGAACCTGATCGGGGAGCCCTCGACCTCCGACGCAAGAAGGGTCACTCCTTCCTCCCCGACTCTCAAAAGCCCCTGCTCAATCAATTACATATACAAATTACTAATTACATGTACATTAAGAAACAAATATAGGCATTATTTAATCGGTGTTCCGTACATGTTTCAGCTGCTGTAGTGCTGTTCATCATGACAAGTGTTCATACTAGAACCAACAACGCTAGCAAGTCCTCCGATCGGTGCAGGTAGCCTACCTTGTCGGCGTCGCAGACGAGCATGGTGCCGTCGGCGGACGGCGCGACCCCGAGCAGCCCCGTGCCGCCGACGAAGCGCCACCGCTCCCAGGAGCCGTTGTTTGGGTGCATCCGCTGCAGCCACCCGTCCCTGGTGGCCGTGTACAGCGCCCCGCCCGCCGCCGCGTCCACGTACACGTCCTCCGGCGCGTCCAGCGCCCCTTGCCCAAGCTTCTCCAGCCTCTGCACGGCGCGCGTCAGCGTCACGCACGCGCACGAAACGGCAACAACAATTGACGAGCAGCAAGGATTTTCCCGGACGACTCGTTAACCTGGAGGAGGTTGTTGGGCGGCGGAGTGGGCGGCCGCGGAGTCGACGGCACCGGCTGCACGGGGCAGTTGAGCGTGACGTGGGCCGCAAACGAGGCCACCGCGGCCAGCACGGCGGCGGCGGCGCCGAGGAGGCCAGGCGCCATGGTCAGTTGGCCGCCACGACACCACCTCACCAATGGACGAGTTAGTTCCAAAGAAGCAGCTGGCAGTTGATATCACGGCTGTTTGAGCTTTTTACTATCTTGGCCCTCGTACGAGCGCTGAGTTTTCAGAGATTCTTTTTTTTTTTTGGGAACAGAGTTTTCAGAGAGGACCTGTTCGGCAGGACTGAAAAATACTGTTCCGGCTGATTGTTGTGAGAAAAAAATACTGTTCTGGCAAGACGTAAACAGTAATTTCGTGAGTGGCGGAACAAGTTCAACAGCAGACAAGAGCTGCGGGAGGGCCCAGGGTCTCAGGGATGTGGCCCAGCACTCCTGCAGTGCACAGCGGTGAGAACGGCCTGCACGAGCATGACGTGCTGTAATTTGTAAAGCGCTGGTCGAACTTCCTCAGCTTGAGATTGTGATGCAGTAACTGCTAGGAAAGTGCGAGAGATCGACATAGCTAAAGTAGCCCTGAGTTGTGAGTTACAGCCTTCTTCTTAAGCAAACCCTTTAGCTTATGTGCCGAAACCTGAGAACACTTGGGGCGCGTTTGCGACCCTGGCCCGGAGGCCCGGCTGCGCCCGTGGGCTGCAAGTTGCCATGTTTGTGGTCGATGGCCCGCAAGCGAGCCTGGCTTCCCAGAGCAAAAATCGACCTCTTCGCCTGACTCTCTGGAAACGACCGAAACCCTTGTTTCTTTGGAGCCGAGCTCGTCTGCGACGCACGCGGGTGATTTTGGGCGGCGGCGGGGTGGCTCGCGCGGGCTCTGGCGGGAAGGGGAAACGTCTTCGCGCGCGTCCCCGCTCTCCGCTCCCGGCCTCAGCCGCTTGCATGAAAGCGAAATGGCGGCGATTTCGCCGGCCTTTATATACGGGTTCCCACTCTCCACTCTCTCCTTCTTCCACTCGGTGTTTGCTCTTCCACCTCCCTCGTGAGAGACCAGCGGTGAGTTGTGGTGCGTGGCGGCGGCGGCGACCACCGGCTGGTTATGGGTTAGGTCACCGGCGCCGAGGTTCTTCGCCGCGTCCCCGCTCCGGCTGCTGCTGGGACTCCGTGGCAGCGGTGTTCCTCTTCTTCTCCGTCCGCATCTGCTTCATCTTCTTCCCGATCTGCATCCTCTACTTCCAGATCTGCCTCCTCTCCGTTGTTTGGACCCCGAGCCAAGATGAAATCGACCCCCAATCTTCTTTTTGTGGTGCTTCTTGAAGTTCTTAGGGTTTCTTGTTCGTTGCTGTTCATGATCTGTTAGGGTTTCATACTTGTTATAACTGCTTCATGCTCCTATTAGGGTTATTTGTACCTTGCTGTTCTTGATCTGTTGGGATCGTAATCTGTTAGGGTTGTTGATCTGTTTCAGATTAGTATTGTACCTTGCTGTTCATAACTGTTTGATGCAGTTGTTAGTGTTACTTGTACCTTGTTGTTCTTGATGTGTTAGGGATGTTGATCTGTTTCTGATTACTATTGCTCTGAGTTTTTTGTTCCATCATTGGTCGATGATGTTGTCCAAATTTAGTATTGGGAGGCATCACATACAAGATGCAGCCGTGCTTTTGTTGGCATGCATTTATTTCACATTCATGTTGATGCCTAGCAGGGTACATTAAGCTAAAATCATGTTACATTTTTACATGCTTGTAGATGGATCTGTCTTTAAGCCGTGACATGCTGTGTAGGAAGGCAGCTGCCTTGACTGTTGTTATGGTTACCTTTGTATCCACTAGGCTGAAAAGGAAAACCCCTGAACCTGAAACCCCACTGCCTGATCCTATAGCACTGGCCCTGATTAGGGATGAAAATGAACAGCACAAATAGAGAACACTGAGAATGATATACAATTCCACTGATTCAGAGTGTATTTCTATGATTAGGATGAAGAGAGTTGCTTTTTTTAAGTTAGTGAGAACTTTTAGAGAGAGGGGTCTTATCACTGATAGGGAGGGGGTGTCAGTAGAAGAGCAGGTTGCCATATTTTTACATGTTGTTGGACACAACCAAAGATTTATGGTTGTCCACCAGTCCTTTAGGAGGTCCATCCAAACTGTCCACAAGCACTTCCATCAGGTGTTGTATGCTGTGGGTGAGCTTAGGAATGAAATGATAAAGCCAGCTAGCACTACCACTCACCCAGAGATTCTTGGAAGCCATACATGGAATCCATATTTTAAGGTAATTGTATACCCTGGGTTCATTAGTTACATTAGACCTGTTGCAATGACTGACCCATGCTTTTTAGGATGTCATTGGCTTTATAGATGGGACTCATTTCCTAGCAAGGGTTCCTAGGCGCATGCAACAAGCTTTTAGGGGTAGGAAAAAGGATCCCACCCAAAATGTGATGGTAGCTGTGAATTGTGATCTGAAATTCACTTATGTCCTGGCTGGCTGGGAGGGCTCTGCCCATGATGCAACTGTTTTGGCAGATGCTGTAGCCAGGGAAGATGGCTTGAGTTTGCCAGAAGGTAATTGCACACCAACACTAATTACATATTCCATGGCCTATTAACACATACTCTCACAGTAGATGTCTTGTGTAGGTAAAATGTTCTTGGTAGATGTTGGGTATGCATGCAAAAATGGTTTCCTACCTCCCTACAGGGGGGTTAGGTACCATTTGTCTGAGTATGGCCCAAGGAACAGGCCCACCAATGCAAGGGAGCACTACAACCTTAGGCACTCATCACTTAGAGTGACTGTGGAGAGGGCTATAGGTGCACTGAAGGGCAGGTTTAGGATCTTGGACAACAAACCCTTCCACAAGTATAGGACACAAGTGAAGCTTGTAGTTGCCTGTGCCATTTTGCATAACTGGATCCTAGGTTTTGGCATTGACGAAGTAGTGCCTGATGAGGAAGGTTTCACTACTTCTGCTGATCCAACCAACCTACCCCCAGCCCATCTAGACCAAGACTCTGTTGACATGGCTGAAATAAGGGATGCCATTTGCAATGCTATGTGGGAAGAGAGGGGAACAAACACTAGTTGATGTAATATGTTCTTGAATTTAGTTTCTGTACCCTGCTATGGAACTCATGTGTGTGTCATGGTGATGTAATAATTTGATGGACAAAGCTGAGACCAATTTTATGCTTCATTCATTCTATTCTTGAATCATTCTGTTCTTCATGATCTGTCAGTCTGTTGTTTATTCATACACTGTTAATATTGTTGTCAGTCTGTTCTTGACTAATTCTGTTGTTGATTTCATTACATGCCAGTCCTAGGATGGATTCAGGTGCATTTGAGGGTGGGTTTGTTGCTGGTACTTCAGTGATGGAGCATCTCATCAATGGTGGTTCTGCCCCTGTTGTAGCTGGTGCTGGTGCTGGTGCTACTGCCCCTGTTGCAGCTGGTGCTGGTGCTGGTGCTGCTCCAGGTGCAGTAAACCCTGTTGATGTTGCTGCTCCTATAGCTGGGAATGGGGCTGTGAGGGCAATGAGGTGGACCAACACCACCTCTGGCTTTGTGCTAAGGAGGATGGCTGCCCTTGTTAGTGATGGTAGCAGGCCTGACAAGGTTTTCAAGGACAAAGATGTGACTTCTATGGCCAAAGCCCTCAAGCTGTTCTGTGGGGAGGTTGTTAGCCCAACTCAAGTGTACAACCACTTGAGGAAGTGGAGGCAGAAATGGGCTAGGGTGAGCAAGTTGAAGGACCTTAGTGGTGCTCTTTGGGATGACCAGGCTCATGCTATCATGCTTGAGCAAGAGCACTACCTTGGCCACTGCAAGGTAGCAGTTTGATCTCATCTTTACCTTGACTACCTACATTTGCCTTTCTTAAACTACATTTGCCCAACTCTGTAGGACCATCCTAAAGATGCAGAGTTTCTTAACTGTCCTATTAGGTTCTACACTAAGATGGATACTATCTTTGCTAATGCCATGGCCACAGGCAAGTTTGCACTTGGGTCTGGTGAAGCCTTAGGGTAGAACCAGGCTGATAGTGTTGGTGCCAAGGCTGATGGTCCTCCTTTGACCCACACCACAGTTCCCAGTGAACAGGGAGGGGATAGCAAGGCCACTGAACTGCTTCCTACCTCCTCAGCTGCTGGCCCAAAGAGGAAGAGAGGGAACTTCTCTGAGGAGGAGATGCTCATGTTGACTAACATGTCAGATGCTGTGAACAATGTGGCCAATGCTCTTAGGGAGACTGGACCTGCCCATGTTGATGCCAATATGTACCTTGCTGTGATGGAGATGCCTGGCTTCAGTGAGGAGGCACTTATTGTTGCCTACACCTTCCTTCTAGACAACAAGGCCCAAGGCAGGGGCTTTGTGAACATGAGTGATGCCCACAGGGCCCTTTGGCTTAAGACCTTCCTGGCCAAAAACTACTATGTGTAGTTCCGCTACACATGAAGGGCTAGAAGGCCAGGAGGGGGTTGACTGTAGAGATGTATAGTTCCTTCACCCCCCTCACCCACTCTCTCTTCTTTTGACAACAGGACCTTTTGTGTAGTCTGCTTGTTCTTTTGACACCTGACCTTGATGGTGTAGTTTGCCTAGGAGGGTGGCTAACAATAGGCAAGGATTTGGGAACATTTGAGCCATTGGCTGTTGTACTGAACTTGGTATTGTAAGAAACTTATCTGTAGCCTCTGTTGGCTACTTTTTATTTGATAACTAGTTGCCTATTTGTGTTGTTTATGCCTCTGGTGGTAACTGTGGGATTTAAAAGCCTATGATGCATAAAACAAACTTGAGGTGGCTACCTTATTCTTGTTTTGATGGTTTTGTTGTTGTGCTTTCTTCTTTATTTGCCTATCCTTCCATTCTACACTTATGCTCAGTTGTACTCCACAGCAACAACATCCTCTTGTGATGGCTGATGGCAGTGAGTGCAACTGATCAAAAGGTCTGTATGGCAGTGAGTGCAACTGTTGTTTATTTGCCTCTTTATTTGGTTCTTACAATTCTTGGTAGCCACCAATGACTAAACAAGGAAAAAAACCACCAAACTACTAAGCTGAGGCTAAATTTTTTATCAAGTAGCCGATGATGTTCACCATCATTGAAACTGAATGGTCGATTGAGGCATGTCATTCAGGCCACTTACATGTTCTACATTTGGTTGGTTTCAGAGAATGCCTCCCTGCTATGTGGTATTTGAAGGGAAGAAACCTAGGATTTATTTTACATGGTATGAGTGTGCTAAGCAAGTGCTTAGGGAAGAAGGGGCTATCTATCAGAAGTACAACAACTATGATGATGCTCTTAGAGATTTTAATGCAAGGGTACCTCAAGAACCCTTGCTGTTACCAATTCATGCCCCTCATGGGGATGCATCAGCATCCCATGAACTGGTGACAGCTCAAGGTTCTGAAATCTATCCTCATTCACCTAGGCTGCAAGGCTGTTGCAAAAATGCTGTCATCTTGATCTTGTTTATGGATGTAGTTGGTCTGTCACTCAAGCTGTTCATGAGCCACAGTTGTTGTTTTAATTAGGCCGATGATGACACAATAGGATGACTGCATTAGCTGGCTACATGCTTTCTGTTAACTTGTTGCCCTTCTCGGCTTGCCAAACTGTTAAATGTTGTATTTTGGCCAATGATGACACAATGGATCGATGCATTAGCTGGCTACATATCATTTTGCCGCCTCTTATCTGTTTCTGTGAACTTTTTCGTTTGTTAGCTTCAAAACTTGACTAGCGGATGCTGCTGTTCTTCTTTACTGACTTTGATTATCCCATGTAGCCAGTAATGCCATGAATTGTTAAACTAGCATGTCTGAGGCCAACTATTGCATGCTGAAACTTTGATTTGTTGTTGTAACGGTTATGGAAGAGCAACCTCATTATCCTTTCATTCATGTCCATTTTTGTTTGTTGTTATGGGCCTGGCCGACCACAGCCAAATGACAAACACTATCTCGGTGTGGCAGTTTATGGCGGTTAGCCTCTCAGCCCGGCTGCCTCTTCGATGACAAACACAGCCTCGCCTGAGCCGGGCTCACTGGGTACACAGGCGCAAACAAGAGCAGTTGCACCACTTGGGGTAGGCCTGCCCAGGCCTGGGCCAGTTGGGCTGGCCAGGCCGGCCAGCTACAGGGTCGCAAACACGCCCTTGGAGGCCTCCTCATTAACTCCTCTCAACACAATTCTTTGCTTGTGATAAGTGAATCTCAATAGTTTCTTTCTCGAGTGTATCCACATAGGGCTATGAGCCAATCTACATGAATAGCATGTCATAGAACTTGATTGCTAATATTCTGGTGTCATAAGTGAAACAATGCCCCTGCACATCCATTGCAATTGTGGGATCAATTGGTCTGAGAGCATCTGACTTCCATCAACAGTTGTGAAGTGTAAAGGATCAAATGATTTCTGGTCTTGATCAATATGAGAGGCTAACTCATAACTAACAAAGGTTCAAGCACTACCAAAGTCTACCTGAATAAGCGCCTCATGCTTGCCAATGAATCCCCTCAATCTCAGAGTTCTATTCTTCCTTTTGACATCAACATCTGAAGGTGTCTGCTGCAGTCATGGCAACTTGTCCTGCTGTAACTTCTAAATCCTCCTCAATAGAGGTATAATCTGGATCAGGCTCAACTTGAACAGGCTCCAACAGCACTTGAATAACATGAAGAGGAATCTGGTTGGGCACTTACGGTTTTTGCCTGTCCACTTCTCTCCATAGGTGAAACAAAAGGTTATTGGCTCGGTGATAAGCTTGCAGAGCCAACAATTTTTCAAAGGGACCAGTAGGCTGAGATGGTTCTGCAGTCTTACTCTCATCCTTCTTCATCATTGGTTTCCCCTTATCTCCAACAGAACTAAGCTTTGACTGAAACCTACTGAATCCCTTGTTGTCAAGCAGATTTTTGCTTTTGCTTTTCATCGGATTCAACTCCACTTGCTGCGTGATAGCCAACTCACTATCAACTTGCACTGTTTTGGGCCTATCTAGACCAAAAAAAATGTGTGACAAAGAAAGTATAATCATAAGAGGAATTATACAAAAGAATGCCTTGTGATAACTCCTCAAATTTGGATGGATACTCCTCTACTGAGCCCAATTGTTTCAGAGAGTCCAATCGCCTCAATTGTATGTGATGTTGATCCTTGTCCCCGATTGAAGACAACATCTGCCATTGAGTCCCAAGTCTGAAACCGCCCTCGATGCTCAACTATTTGTAACCAAACAACAGCCTAACCTAGAAAATTGAGAGCAGCAAAACGAGTCTTCAAGTCAGGATGAACCGCGAACATCTCAATATACATCTCGCATCGATCCCGCCATAAACGTGCGTTAGAACCATCAAATTTTGGAAACTGCATCTTTGTAATAGATTGAGAACGGAGACCATTCATGCTAACCCCAACAAAATGAATGGGATCAGACGACATACTGTTGACCAAGCATGGCGAGGGTCCGAGGACGCCACCACCAGCATCCCGGTGGTGAGGTGATTCGCCATGCCCATGAGGTCATTCGCTCGGCGACGCAGATGCGCGTGCCGATGGGTGAGGAACGCGGTGAGGTCGATGTGGCCGACCCAACCACTCGGTGAGGGGGGTGGAGGTGGTGGAGCCTCTAGCTAAAGCAGTTGTGCCACCGTGTCATCGATCTTGGAAAGCAGCGACCCCATCGTTTCGTCCACCGCACCACGCCATGCATCCAATGTGGAAAGCTTGTCACGGGATTGCTTCATCATCGGTTGTGAACTTGGAATCCTTTGAATTGCCTGAACAAGTCCTCCAGCGTCGCCATCATCTTCTCCTCATGCTTCGGGGCATGTTCTAGCACACAAAACAGCATGAATCTAGTGAAAAAATTTGGGTCTCCCGAATTGAGAGGCTCTTGTTACCAATTTGTCACGAACTAGAGGACCGGGTTAGTAGAAATGGACTGAATCAGGGTAGAACAACAAAGAAGTGAGAAACTTTCAGTGGTAGGCGGCGTTCTCGTTGACAACGAGGCGTCTATGATGACTTCGTCAATCTCAAGGATTTGCCAGCCCAATCTTCGAAAATGCTCATAGGGTTAGAGTTTGTGTGCGTGTATTCATATAGATGAATGTACGTGAGTTACGAGTATCTGAGTTATACTGTGTAATCTCAAAAAAAAATGAGGAAGAACAGAGAAGAACAGCAAAGAGGATAGCTAGGAGAGGAATGGTTTAGATTTCTGTTATTCCATAACCGTTTCCAAACAAATCTAACCCGCTTATATGCTGCCGTTACTCTCACACATGACTTGGGTCGAGAATCTGCGCCTACACGGGCTAAGACCAAAATCCGCAACTCCACACGGTCTCTAACTTCCACGCTCAACCACTCCTTTATCTCCTCCTGTGAGGGCAGTCCCAATGGTGTATTGATGATGGTTTCTATCCTCATTAAATGACTTACCATGTAGGCAAAATGCTGACATGGCAACGTAATTAATGAAGAAAGAGAGCAAAAATCCTAGAAATGGTTTCCTCATGAAGAAATCAGGTCTTCTCTTGACCCAATGCACCAAGAAACCATGAAATCGCCATTGGGGAGAAACCACCAGTTTTCAGGGGGCTCGTGCCACACTTCCATTGGAGGAAGAAGATAGAGTTGGGAGAGAGAAAGAGAAAATAATTATTGCATAAAGACACCTCCACTGCGTCAGTTTTTTTCATTGGGATTGCCCTGGGGAAGGCGTTTCCTGAGAAAAAAAGACCAATATCTTTGCCCAATGCTCGCCTTTTTGGGCTGGCACGATCGGTTATTGTACATCATATCTATTTATTGACAATGATAATTTATTGACAATGATAAAAAGCAAAGATGACCTAGATTGAAAAGTTCCCCGGTTTAATTAACATTGAAGCACCTTTTCTGATAAAATTAACATTGAAGCATCGCAACTGTGTTCCTGCTTTACTACGAGAACGTAAATGTTGCAGAAACTGGAAAGTAAACGTTCCCAGTGTTCCCCGTTTCCGGCTGCTAAGCATCGGAGAACTCAAACACCTACGAAGATGCTGCTCCCTGCTCCTGCTGTGCCACCTGCGCCAGAGATAGTTTCCCGACGAAGTTGGCCGAGAGGCTGCCAAGGAAGATGTCCCCGTTGAACTCCGTCACCGATGTGACGAAGTTGATCACCTTCCCTTCGGCGTCGTCAAGCACGCGGACGATGTTGCCATCCTCCGACACCTGAGCCACCATGGCTCCCTTTGCCGTTCCCTTGCTCCACTCGAGGAGCCCGGGGAACGAAGCCACCACTCTCTTCGTGAAGGTCCAGCGGCTGATGAAGTCCAGCCATGGCGACCTCAGCTGCATTTTGGACACCGGAAACTCAAAACTGTCAGGTGATGCTGTTAGTGATAGGACGGTACTATGGATAATGGGGTAGCCGGGAGCCAGTGACCTGGAGGACGGCAATCCAGAAGTGGCCGTCTGACCCGAGACGAATGTTATCCGGACTCCCCGGAAGGTCAACGAACGTCTCTGCCGTGCCGACCTTCTCCCCTTTCAGCCACACTTTCATGCACCTGAACCTGCGTGTGTTTTTTTTTTTTTTTTTGCCCACATCTGGTTGGCTCTCCATGCGATCGAGCACTGTATGATGATCCGAGTGAAGGTTCAGTTACCTGGTGGACTCGCAGACGACCACGAAGGCCTCGTCCCTCGGCAGGGCGACGCCGTTGGCGAAGCCGAGTCGGTCGAGCACGACGGACGTCTCGCCGCTGCGCGGGTCGTACCGGAGGAGGCGGCCGGTGGCACTGGCCTCTACGAAGTCGTGGAACCACCTGTCGAAGCCGAACCTAGTGCTGGCGTCGCTGAAGTAGACCGTGCCGTCGGAGGCTTCGATTGCCGCGTCCGCGAACCTGGCGGCGGAAGGCCGGCCGGCGGGCGGCGCAGGCGCGAGAGAACGGTCAGTGGTGGCTTCACAGTTACGGTCTTACGGTGGCACTGGCACCGCCCGCAGGGTGCGATTTCGTCTGGAATTTGAGTAGGGATGCGAAGAACCTGATGGTGGAGCCCTCGACCTCCGAAGCAAGAAGGGTCACTCCTTCCTCCCCGACTCTCAAAAGTCCCTGGTCGTCAATCAGTTACAGTAATAATAACTGGTAAATAAAGTACTGTTCATTTTTTAAAAGCGGTGTTCCGTACGCGTCTCATGCGGCTGTTGATCGTAACACGTAGAGTTGTTCTCTTTTATTCCTCCTGTCCTACTAGAATCAACGACAACGCCAGTGAAGCACTCCGATCGGTGGAGGTAACCTTATTACCTTGTCGGCGTCGCAGACGAGCATGGTGCCGTCGGCGGACGGCGTGATCCCGAGCAGCCCCGTGCCGCCGACGAAGCGCCACCGTTCCCAGGACCCGTTGTTCGGGTGCATCCGCTGCAGCCACCCGTCCCTAGTGGCCGTGTACACCGCCCGCCGCCCGCCGCCGCGTCCACGTACACGTCCTCCGGCGCGTCCAGCGCCCCTTCCCCCAGCTTCTCCAGCCTCTGCACGGCGCGCAACAATTTCCGCATGCACAGCGTCACGCACGCGCACGAATCGGCAAGAACAATGGACGGGCAACGAGGATTTTTCTTTCGGGACGATTCGTTACCTGGAGTAGGTTGTTGGGGGGCGGAGTGGGCGGAGGCGGAGGCGACGGCACGGGCTGCACGGGGCAGTTGACCGCGACGTGGGTCGCGAGCGACGCCACTGCGGCCAGCACGGCGGCGGCGGCAGCGAGGAGGCCAGGCGCCATGGTCACCACGACACCACCGCTCACCAGTTAATGTACGAGTGAGCTCCAAAGAAGCAGCTGGCAGTTTGATACCACCTCAAAGCCTGGAGCGTAGATAGGATATGATCACGGCTGTTGGAGCCTTTTATGCTGGAAACGCTGAGTTTTCAGAGATTCAGTGCACGCCGACGTGTGGACCGGGCTTGCACTTCACTTTCGGAAGCAAAAAAACAAATCTAGAGCGGCCCAAATTCTTCACCGTGGTTGAGATCTCAGTTTGCGCCGGATTCGCACGCGATAAGAGGACTGGTCCACTCCAAGACAGAAGAGACTTCAATAGCAGCCAAGAGTTGCGTCAGGGCCTCAGGGATGTGGCCCAGCGCTGCTGCAACACAGCGGTGCGAGCGGTGTGATCTCTCGTTTCCGGTCGCCTGCACGAGCATCGGAATTTACTAGACTCGCATGCAGCTACAATCCAGCGCCAGCCGAGTTTTTTTTTTCTTTTTCTGTTGTAGGGTAATTGATCCGCTACTAAATTTTAGCTCATAGGACTTGTTTTCCCAAATAATAACCCTTTACTCTCTCTCTCATCTCTCTGCGTTAACGTGTAGTAATGTACATGCTCTTCTAGGACTAGGTTGTGCAATAACAAAAATGATTATATCAAACTAAAAACTAGCTAGTGATTGATTGTACGTGCATGTGCATAAATAAACATATATAAAAGAAGTACTATTTTCTTTTATACCAGCAAAGAAAAGTTCGTAAACCGACAGTAAAATTTGGAAGAAAATACTTAGAAAAGCAGAATTAATATGAGACAGAGAACTGCAATGATTTCGTGAATTGCTTTGGGAATCAAATGACGCTCATGATTTTTGAATGCTGAGATTTGTTTTTAATTAAACTCATATAGGGTATATCCACCCCTCTCCCATGTCCATTGACCACCAGTTTTTCCAATTACATTTTCTGTTTCTTTTTCTTTTTTTTGATAAATATCAATTGCATTTTGCACGGCCCCCTTCACTTTAGAAAATGACAGCTTCATTGCCTGAACATCAAAGAAGGAAGATTGGAAGTAGCATGTCGTCATACTGTCATTACTGTGGCTTTTTTTTCGGCGGGGAAAAATCTGATGCAAGACATTTACAGGTCATTGTTGCCTTCCTATGTCCCAAGATAACATAAGTTTCACTGTATTTATAAACTACTCCCTCCTTCCGATGCAATCTGCAGTATTGAGGTGAAGACAGCAAGCAAGCAAAATTAGGGGGTGTTTGCATCCGGATTAAAGTTTCGGAGGTGTTACATGAGATGTCGTATGGGGTGTTCGGATATTAATAAAAAAACAAATTACAGAATCCGTCATTAGCACATGTTAGCACCACATTGTCAAATCATAGACTAATTATGTTTAAAAGTTCATCTCACAAAACAGTTTCAATCTGTATATCTAATTTCATAATTAATCTATATTTAATAGACCATGCACATCTCAATCAAACATTCGTTAGCACCGCCACTAAAGTTTAGGATGCATTCCTGCTTTCTCTGTCTCCCCAAGCACTACGCACGCAGATCAAGGCCTTCACTCTCTCACCCTGCGTCACGCAGCTCTGGCTGCAGCCCCAGGACACGCCTATGTTCAGATTTTTTTTATCCCACAACAGCTAGAATGCAGCCCTACCCAGGTCTAAAATTGCATTCTTTCCATTTTATGATTTTTATGTTATTTACTATGATTTTTCAAAAATTCAGCCAAAATAAATAAAAAAGAAAAAGACAAAACCGTCTTTGAAAACCACCTATAACCGGAACAGGAAGGTAAAATGAATGGTTTTAAAAGTTGAGAGAGGTGATTTATCTGTTTTGGAGTTCAGGAAAAAAAACTAGACTTTAAGGATAGTTAAGAAAAGTAAAATGAACTTTTTCCTATAGCGGCGGACGCCCCGCAAAAGGCCCATGGGTCGAAAATGTAACCTACAGAGTAAGCCCTTGTAGTACCAATTTTCTCTTCTTTTGTAATTTGTGATGAAGTACCGCAGTTTCGTGAATCATGACCATGAATGATGAAACAGACGTGAAACATTTCCTTCCCCATCTTATTCACCTGGTCAAACTCTATTCCTACAATTGCATCTTTTACCGGTCGGAGGAAGCATATTAGCAATATTTATATTTCCAAATATATTATTATAAAAATAAATTTCTTATTAATATAGCTATTATGCATCATGTTTATTAGTATATATTCGATCAAACTTTAAAAAGTTTTACGCCTAAGAAACAAGATGTATAGTTATTTTATTTAGGATTAAATCTATTTTTTTGCACGTCAACTCTTGCCTTTATGGCTTTATCTAACTTTAACCACCAACTACAAAACTATCTAACTTTGGTACCTCAACTATCAAAACCATTTAATTTTAACCCTAGGGTCATCTGAAAACCACTCAAAACCACCTTAGGGTCAAAATTGAACAATTTTGATAGTTGAGGAGCCAAAGTTAGACAAATATAAGAGTTGAGGGACCAAAAATAGACTTAATGAAGTACTTCAATTTTTTAGATATTTGTAAAAAAATTATATATTTAGATTTACTTATTGATAGATATTTATATGTATTAAAATATTTATCTACGCATTATTGAATTTTTATCACAAAAAAATAACTTATCATAAACTAAACTTTGGTACCAAAATTTTTCAAAAAAAACATAATATTTCTCATAGATATCTACAATTTTGATTTGGGTGTTATTTCTACATATGAGTTCGTTTGAATAATTTAAAAGATTTGAATTTCAAAATACGAGAACTTAAAATAGAATTTTATGACTGTAAATGGTTTCAAATGAAACAGTCATCAGATAAGTTGTAGATTTCTTCGAGATCAACAAATTTTCTATTCGTAGCTTCTTCATCTAAGTTTATTTGAACAATTTGAAAGATTGAATTTCAAAATATGAAAACTTCAAATAGAGTTTTAGGACCATAAAAGATTTCAAATGAAAAATATGCCAATTACAAAGTTGTATATCTTATCGAGATCTATAATTTTGGTTTTTGGTCATTTCTTTATCCAAGTTTGTTCGAATAATTCGAAGAAATCAAATTTAAACATATGAGAACTTCAAACATAATGCTGGGACCGTAAATGATTTTAAATGAAAAAATCATCAACTAAACGTTATGGTCATTTCTTCATATGAGTTTGTTTGAATAATTTAAAAAAATATTGCTATTTTAATTATAGATTATATTTTAAATAAATTTGGATTCATATTCAAAACAAAAAGTTCAATAAAGTGTATATAAATATTTTAATACATATAAATATTTATCAGTAGGTAGATCTAAGAATACAAAAAATTGTAAGTAATAAAAAACAAAAGTACTCGATTAAGTCTATTTTTGGCCCTTAACTCTTGCAGCTGTCTAACTTTAGCACCTAAACTTAAAAAAAGTTCAATTTTGATCTCCGAGATGGTTTTGAGTGATTTTCAGACAGCTCATAGTTAAAATTAAACGATTGTGATAGTTGTGATGCTAAAGTTAGAAGGCTTCAGAGTTGTGGGTTTAAATTAGATAAAAACGAGATTCGATGGGTTACAGCGGGCGGCTGCTTCTGGCGCATTGAGCTGCTACAACCGGAAGTCCGGAACGGCTGCCGCTGCAAACTGCAGCGAACAGGCCCGATCAGTCTACTGCCTCGACCAAGTCATCTGTTGTTGGACGGAGAAAACTGAAGAGTGATAAATAATATTGATGATCGGTCTGGCTTTTGATGGCATACCTTCGTTCCGTTCCATCACTCTTTCAGTTGCAGCGTAGTGGCCTGGATCGCACGACCCAAGGCATCATAAAAACGGACAGAAACAAATGGAAAAACTCATCTCCTATTTCCGTTTCAATATTTTTTGCGGAGTTGGGATCGGTTTAAAAAAAACGGAATCGAAAACGAATGAGGATATACGGAAATACGGAAACAGATAAAGACGGACGGAGAGCCGGAAAATTGAGTTAGTCAAATATTTTCGAGTATATATAAACAAAGTCACAAAATAATATATACATGTATGAAGTTATCGGTTTAATATTCACTAGCATGGCATGTGTTAACATGTTAATATGCATAATTGGTGATCAATAGGTTTACGAACATATCAAATTTTAGACATATCTCATATAGATTGAAACGGAATGAAAAACGGAATAAATACGGGTCAATTTCGGATGAAAACAGGATCCCGTGAAAATGGACAGAAAACCCCTCTCCTTTTTTCGTAAATATGGAAATGGGATCCCATAAATACGGAAACGGACGGACAAAAGTGGAAAATCGGACGGATCAGAACAGTAATTTTCCGTCCATTTTCATATTATCCGAGAAATCTGATCATTGGCTATTAGCCGCGTACGCCAGCGTGAGAGGTCATCTATCCAATGACGGAGCTACATGTAGGTCAAAGAGGGCCATGGCCCTCCTTGCCGATTGAAAACTCCCATAAATAAGTAGGTATTAAACTGATGATTAAAATCAATGAATATGCATGTTAAGTAAGAAATTAATGTTGGTGGCCTCCTCTTGTTTTCCTTCAAGCTCCACCAGTCATCGTAGCTATCGAAAAGTGGACCAAGAAAAGAAATTAAAGCTATTAAGGGACATAGCTGTAGTGCACCGCTTCAAGAGTGCCGATGAAGACGTTCCAACAGTAATCTCCAGTTTGTGATAGACCGGTTCGGTTGCCATATTGCATACCACGATAACTATCGTTCTTTCGTATGGATGAGCGACTAATTCTCAAGACAAATTAGGAAAGAGGTTCCTCATCACTTCTGTGGAGGAGAACCAACCGTTTTTCATCACAAAACAGCAAAGGTTACCAATCCCTAATGGAGATCAGGGTTTTACATATACTATTGTCCTAAGTAAAAAAAAAATACTGAAAAAATAATAGATTGACAATATCAACCTGCCATGTGTAACACCCCGGGTGTTACGAGTTTGCTTAGC